ACATGGAGTGTGGACCCTGGGAGACCCTGGTGTCAACAAGCGTAAACCCTTTTGACCTACATAATTGTCTCAGGGTAGGAAGCATCAAGGGGGGGGCGGTTGGGGATTAAAGGAGTCACCCAAACTGAAAGGTGAGAGACACAGAGGAATGGATAAAGAGTCCCAGCCTGTGAAGGGACCAGCAGGGATAGTGGGAATCTCTCCTCAATGCCTGTTAATGGTTTGCCTGTTAGACTCAGTTGAGAAGTTCAACAAGAAATGGTGTTTGAAGGATTTGCAGAGCCAGAAGAGGTGAATGTTGAAAAACATGAGGGAGCTAAGAATAAAACAGTTGAGTCAAAAAAAGGGGGGAAAGCACCTACTTTTGGTATTGGGGGTACAGTTCATATTGGGGTGCAAGGGGAATTCCTCACAGATTCCTGAGGAGACTCTTGAGAGGAAGATGGCGGTAAAGTGATGCCATATCCGAGCCCTGAGGGTGATAAACCAAGAGAGCCACAGTGGAAACCTTGACGGTGGAATGGGATAAAGCTTGTTCGAAGAGAGGCAGAAGGACGGGGATGAGAGCATCTAGAGAAGGAGGCATAGTAGCCAGACTGTGAGCCACCACAAACTTGGAGGAAACATTCCATTTGTATAATACGAGCTGCTGAAGGTTTTCTCGTTCCGGCTAGGACAAGGGCTATCGAGAGTGAATGCTCCATGCCATGAGGTGGAGAGTCTGAAGATCACGATGGGAGATGCTGCCATTGTCTTGAGGGAGTAAATGCGGCAGCATCGGGAGTGAAAACAAGTCGGATGCCAGTGAGGCCACCATGGCACTGTTATTATTGCGTCCGACTGATATTCTGAGCGTTTGACTATAACTCTTTGGAGAAGTGGGAAAGGAGGAAAAAGATACAGGAGGCTTGGAGATCATTGGGTCCTGAAGGTGTCTGCTAATGATCCTCTACCAATACCTGCTTTTGAACAGTAATGGCCACATTCCTTGTTTATGGTAGTAGCAAAGACATCAATGGAGGGGGTGCCCCATTTGTGGCACAGCGGAAGAAAGACCAGGTGATCTAGAGCCCCTTTGTGGGTTTGGGTATGAAGACTGCTGAGATGGTCTGCTACAGTGTCCTCTGTTGAGATGTGAACTGCAACTGGGAAGATGTGACAGGCAAAGTGCCATTCCTGGACTCGAATGGCCAAGAGAAGGAGAGAGAGAGCGAATGGATTCCACCCAACTTGTTTATGCAGTAGAACTGGAGTGTTGTCGGGGGCAATCTGAACAACGTGACCGACTAGAAGAGGTTTGAATGCTTGAGAGGCTGGGAGTACCTCCAAAGGCACTCCACAGAGTGTCCCGTCCATCTTCTTTCTATAGAAAGCCACCCTATTGGGGGGAAACTGACAAGAGAGAAAGGAGAAAGCAGTTCAAAGCCTGGCAGCAACGGGAGACTGACAGAAGAGAATACAGACAATATATGGAGGATCCTGGGAAACCCCGTGGGGCCAGTCCATTCAGACCAAGGTTGAGGCAAAACCCGGACAAAAAGGTATGGGAGCCACCGGGGGGGCTGAGTTTTCCACCCTTAACCCCCCATGACACCTAAGGGAGCTGCACACGAAGCCTCGGGCTTATCCCCAAAGGGGTATGGCAAGGTTAATCACAATGCTGGAAAGGCTTTTTAGATGGTGCACATCAAGGCGGGATGTGTTCAGATAGGCTCCTGTTTTTCTTGGCCATCCTTAAAATCAGACACGGAACTGGACTGCCTAACCAGCTTGACATCGCTAAAGGAAACAAAAGCTTTCTCACCTGTGATCTCTACGCTATTCTTCCGGTCATGCCATTTAAAATACGAAGGCTTTGCCCACCAACTAGAGCATATATATGACGCAAGTTCCTCTTTTCGGGGTACCTTTGGAAGCTGACATGTTACAGGCAGATGGGCTGGATGGAACCCTTTCAAATGTTGAAGTTTGCAATACTGCCTACCCAGAGAGAAACTCACACCCTTTTTTTCACTCTGGAAGAGGGGAGAAGGATCTTGGGAATACCGAGGTTCCCCATTTCTTCACCGTCTCTTTGGTGCTAATGGTTGGGGAATGGGGTCGGGTCAGAGGTGATTCTCTCTCGCCTAAGGAAAGGGCAAGGAAAGGAAAGGAGCCAAGGAAAGGAGCATTCTTCCTCCTGGGGAGCGTTCCTGCAGGAAGGCCAAGAGTGCCAAAGCACAGAACACGGAGAAGCCAGGCAGAGGCTGAACTGCCAAACAAGTCTGGCCAGAAAGAGGAAAAATAGAGACAATCCAGAAACGGTTCCTTTTCTCATCTTTTTATAAGAACAAATTAAAGTTTTGGAGTATTTTAATGGTATTGTGATATCTCTACATACACAACATCCAAGCACAGGTACACAGAATATATTTTTGTATTCATATGCAGTGTCTGAACATTGTGGCCGAATCTGTGGCTGAAGAGTAATTGCTTCACTTTTCTGAACAGACATCTGTGTTTTCTTAAAGCTATGTAGACAGCAGAAATTTTCCCTTTCCTCATAAAAGTACATAACCGCTGGGAACGCTCAACAAGCAAAATTTCTGCCTGTTGTTTCCCATATGTGATGGGGAATTGACTACCTTTTTGTAATTATGGGAATCGGTTGCAAAAATGATAAATAAATAAAGGATCATTTGAGCTGCATTCATAGGGGTGTTGTCTCCACATCACGTCGCGTCTTCCTTCCTTCCTTCCTACTCGGCACTTGCTAGGCCTCCTATAGACTACGGTGTCCAGTTCTGCCCTTTAAGAAGGATTCAGGCCAACGGGAACAGGCTCAGAGGGGAGGGGGCAGTAAGGACGACTGAGGAGGAACTAGAAACTAAGCCCCAGGAGGAAAGACTGAACAATATGGTCATGTTGAGCTTTCAGGAAAGAAGACTGAAGGGTGATATGAACGCACGCTTCAAATACTTCAAATTCAGAGGGGCAGGATCTGTTCTCAGTTCTACTAGAGCACTCAGGGAGCCAGAATTCGATTGAGTACAGTGGTGCCTCAACTTACGACCATAATCTATTCCGGAAGATGGAGGTAACTTGAAATGGTCATAAATTGAAGCACCATTTTCCATTGAAATGCATTGGAACTCAATTAATCCGGTCTACTCTGGGCGGCTCACAACAAAGAATATAAAAACAACATATAAGATAATTATACCATCATTTACAGACATTTACAATCATCCAAGATGGAAATCAGAAGATATTATGTGGTGTCTGGAGGGACGGCCTGTCTGAATAGCCAGGTCTTATGCTGGCTTTTGAAGCTGCCCAGCAAAGGGGCCAAGCGGATCTCAGAGGCGAGATTGTTCCACAGACGGGGAGCCAATGCCGAGAAGGCCTGGTTTCTTGTTTTTTCTTTCCAGACCTCCCTCGGCGTTAGGCTCCTCAGTCGCCCCTCCTGGCTAGAACAAGTGGTACAAGTAGATCTAGGAGGGAGGAGGCGTTCCGCCAAGCATCGAGGTCCTAAACTGTTTAGGGCTTTGCATGTAATCATTAAAACTTTGAAATCAATGAGGAAGTGAACGGGTAGCCAATGCAAGGTGACCAGAGTGGGAGTGATTTGTTGATGTTTTCTAACCCCACTAAGGAGGTTGGCTGCTGCATTCTGCACCATCTGAAACTTCTGCATCAATCTCAAAGTTTCTAGTTCTCTCCCTCCCAGTTTCTAGTTCTCTCCCAGTTCTCTCCCAGTTCTCTCCCTCCGCGCTTCTCCCAGGGTCAAGCTTCTCAGCCACCCAGCCTGGCTAGATCGAGTGACAGGAACAGAGCTAGGTGAGAACAGGTGCTTTGCCAGGTATTAAGGTCCTGAACCGGTTAGGACTTTACAGTGGTGCCTCACTTAACGATTGCTTCACTTAACGAAGAATTCACTTAGCGATGGCTTTTTTGGAGTGATCTTGCGCTCTGTTTAACAATGTTCCCTATGGGCGATTTTCGCTTAGCGATGTTGGGAGCAGCCAGGCGTTGGGGCAGAAAGGCAAGAGCTGATCCAGTCTTTCTCCCCCACCATTGGACGCAGCGCTTTGGGAGAAACCTCCCGGTGGGGGAAAAAGACCGGATTGGGAGGGTTCAGCTTTTTGTTCCTAACGAGCATGGGAGGATCGCCCGGAGAGCCATTTAGCTTCGCCCAAGGGGACTGTGAGCAGCTGTTAAGTTTCTGTGCGGGACTCATTTGCGCTTCTATCAGAATGGCAGCAGGAAATGCTTACATTGGAAAACCAGCCCCAGACTTTCAAGCCACAGCTGTAATGCCTGATGGGCAATTCAAAGATATAAAATTGTCCGATTTCAAAGGGAAATACGTTGTTTTTCTTCTATCCACTTGACTTCACTTTTGTCTGCCCGACTGAAATAATTGCATTCAGCGACAGATCTGATGAGTTTAGAAAAATCAATTGTGAAGTAATTGCTGCTTCTGTTGACTCCCACTTCTGTCATCTTGCCTGGGTCAACACACCTAAAAAACAAGGTGGATTAGGTACCATGCAAATTCCCTTGGTGTCTGACACAAACCGTGCAATTTCAAAAGACTATGGAGTGCTGAAAGAAGATGAAGGCATATCTTACAGGGGGCTCTTTATAATTGATGACAAAGGGATTTTACGGCAGATCACAATCAATGATCTTCCTGTTGGCCGCTGGGTTGATGAAACACTCCGACTAGTTCAGGCTTTTCAGTTTACAGACAAACATGGAGAAGGTAATGTTGTCATTGTCCCTACTTGTGTGGCTTCTGCTATGGTATTTTCCTTCAGTGAAAGAGAAGGCACTAGTTAACTGTAAAAGATTTGAGACTGCAAAAATTATGCAAGAGTTTAAATAGAATTAAGAATACAAAGAAATAATGGTGTGTGTGTGTATATACATATTGAGCTGGTGATTGAGCTGTATGACAGAGATTCCTTCCAACACCATGGTTATATGCTATGAATAAAGAAAGACATCTCACTTACCTTGAAAATGTTAAGAGGGATTTGGAATTGGGTCATTCCCTTTTGGTCCAGAGAGAAGTAAGAGGAAATCTGCTCACTTTCAACCCCTGCCTTGGAGCGATCAGTCTAGAGGCATCTTGGATAAAGCAAACAAAAGACACAATAGTGTGTGGCTTTGTAGTTTTCATGTCATGTGGAGATACATCTCCATCTCTCTCCCCCCCCCGCCCCTTTGGAAATCAGGAAAAGGAAAATGGAAAGGCAGCTAACGAAGAAACAACCAGGAGGGAAGAGGGAAGACGAAGAAAAAGACGGAGGGGCCTCTTACAGACCCGGAGAGAAAAATTTGATCATTCAAGTTAGCTGACCTGGATGGTGGGAAGCAGAGAACAGACCATGCTTAACACACGCAGGGAAAGGAGGGGCGCCAGAAAAACAGATTGGGTCTGTAGGTGAAGGTGAGCTGAGTGGGCAGGGACTGATCCAGCCAATTTGCCTGAAATCTAGGATGTCTTTGAAGGGGTCAAACCCCTGCATGGCAATGGTGAACCCCGTTTTGAACTCTGCATGGACCTGGTGGTAACGTTGTGTCCTTTACAGCAGTGGTTTCCAACCTTGTGCCTCCAGATGTTCTTGGACTGCAACTCCCAAAAATCCTGGCCAGCAGAGGTGGTGGTGAAGGCTTCAGAGGGTTGTAGACCAAAAACATCTGGAGGCCTAAGGTTGGGGACCATGGCTTTGCAGTACAATGTGTTAGACTGGGACTTCTGATAGATTGCATTTCTTCCTTCCTAGATTCAATTCCTGATGGGGGAAGGAGAAGTCGGGAATTCGGCAACACCTGGGGGGCTTTTTGATTCGTCTTGTTCCCTCCCTGCAGGAATGAAAAGAACCTCACCTGCCGAGGCAGGTCCTCTGCAGTGCCCACAGTACAGAGTCAAGCTAAGGAACCCGAACCACCGCCTCCGAGAGAGTTTTATAAAGGGGCTCCTTCCCCAACTTAAGTCTCGGGACTCCTTCCTCCCTGAAGGTTTTAAAGCACCACCGCCTCCCTAAATACTCCCTCCTCCTTTTCATTCGTGTGTGACATCTTTTCCCCACTCCCAAGCCAGTTTAGGGGAGAAGCTGCTCACTTGGTCTTTGTCTCCACGTGGAGGGATGTCTTTTGATGGCAAAAGTCACCGTGTGTGTATTTTTTTTGGGGGGGGGAATCCTCAACCACGGCGTTCCTGCAAAGGATGCCAAGGGGAGCGGATGGCGACCGGAGTTGCAGGGGACTGGGGCTCGTTTTATAAATGCACCCCCACCCCTCCAAAGACAAAGCCTTCCACGACCCCCCCTCCTCCTCGACCCCCCCCAAAGGCTCACCGCCTTCCAAAAGCAGGTAACGCCTGGATCAGCGCGTTCGCAGTGGACCATAGAGACGGTGGGGGGAAGCGGGGGTGGCAAGCGTACTCTGCTTCCTCTTCCGGTGAGGAGACGCTCTACCCCGTCCCTCCCTCTCCCTTCCCCCTCTGTCCAACGATGATAGCTTCCGCTGGCGGAGTGGGCGGGGGGAGGGGCAGATTCCAGACCGGGGAGGGGGATGTTTCCAAAATGCAGCGGGCGTGGAAGAGGGAGGGGAACAAAAGAGAGATTAGGGTAAATTCTAGGTAGGTAGGCGCGCCCACACGCAGATAAACACAGAAACAGCTGGTGCTTTGCTGAGAGGAGGGGGACGGATGTCCTTTCCCACGTCCCCCCCCCCAAATTGACTCTTGACATCTACCCACGTGGCCCCTGCTTGTTCCACCAAACCAAGGGCTGACGCTACGTATCCCACGAGCTGACACCGTGACGCGCCTCTCACGGGCCCTCCGGTGCTTTCACAAGGGCCCACGGCACCTTCCCTCCCTTTACGCTGCCACCAGTTGACACCCCCTGTCAACACTCTTCAATTACGAAGATTGAGGTCCAAGCTGAGGATTAAGTTGAACAAGACAGGTTTATTGATTATAATACTGATTCTCCACAGACTTTAATGTATTCATTAGATTAGTAATAACTCATTTCACTCTTAACTCTCTCAGTTCTCTATCAGTTCCACCCTCTTTATTGTCTCCTTTACCTCCTGACTCTGCCACCCCAACCCTAAGGACCACAGACTCGCTTCTCCTTCAGTCTCTCATCTCTGACACTCTCTCTGACAAAACTCCCTCCAAAGGACCAAACCTCTCTTCTCTGACTCGCCCCTCCCTTCTGGCTTCTCCTCCGCCTCCCAACAGCTCCCATTGGTCCAGGCTAAGACTATTACATATATGGGAAGGCAGGGTGTCCCCCTACAAGCGTCACACTTGGTTTTTCAGCATTAAGGTTGGAGACACAACATGTGCCCCTGGAAACTGATAGTTATGCAGTCAGAGGCATAGAGAGAAGCTGGGCAGTTAAATGCCTCTATTAAGCACATGAAGCAACAGGACAGAACACAGTTACAAAGTCAGGATGGGTGGGAAAAATTACACGGGGGAGAAGAATTTTATAGAATAGTCAGATGGAAAAAGAGTATGGAAGGCAGAAGGAAAGACATTTGGGATGAGACTATTGGAGAATAAGAAAAACAATTCCCTTCCCAGACAGTATGGCTGGACTGGCAGGGACCCTATGGATCGTCCAGTCAAGGGGACAATGTGTGGAGGGGATCAAAAATCTCAACCAGGCAACGAAACCCCGGCGTTCCTCCAAAGCATGCCAAGTTGAGCAGATGGGACCAGCTTGCATGGGAAATGGGACTGGTTTTAAAAATGCACCCCATGCCCACCCCCACCCCTCCAAAGACAAAGTCTTTGGAACGCAATCTCTTTTCCAACATACACCTTACATGTTGGTGAAAAAATCCATGTACACCCCTACTTTCATGCTTTACTTCTGAGTAAAGATTGCACTAGCTATGGGTTTCTTTGCTCAGACCCCTATTTCATACGATGACTGGAAAAGCAGGACCGCAAGAATGCAAAGCAAAAAGCAAAGTGTGCTGCTTATATACCGCCCATAGTGCTTCAAGCACTCTCTGGGTAGTTTACAAGTTAATTATGCAGGCTACACATTGCCCCCCCCCCCAGCAAGCAGGGTACTCATTTTACTGACCTCGGAAGGATAGAAGGCTGAGTCAGCCTTGAGCCAGCTACGTGGGATTGAACCCCAGGTCGTGAGCACAGTTTTGGCTGCAGTACAGCGGCTTAACCACTGAGCCACGAGGCTCTTCAGCGATTTAACCACTGCACCACGAATGCTCCGAAGGTCCATCCTTCTGTCTGGTCTTGCCAAGTTTGCATAGGCCCCATTTCTCTTCCAGCTCTCCTGGAAGAGAAGCTTCCAGCCTGGGCCACATCCTCCTGCTTCGCTCGTTATGCATCTGTCCTCTTGAACAGGATCATGTTACTTTACTGTCTACCCTTCTGCCCCTGCCAGAGACAGCTCCAGAGCATGACTGCCTACACATTCTGGCAGAGGTTGTGGGTCTCTGTCTGGATCTCACCGCAGAACCCCTGCAAAATCCTGGCTTCTCCCTTGGGACCTCTGTCCAAAAACGGGATCAGGATCACAGGCTTTGTGGTGACAGGTTCTAAAAGAGAAAGACAACTCTTACTTTGAAACCACGTCTTCCCTATGGTTCAGCCCAAGCGGTGATGGGGCTGGAGGACCAACGCCTCGGGAGAGCTTTTGCCATGGAAGCCTTTTGCTCGGTTTCCTTTTTCTTCAGCACAAGGGTTCCTTCTCCCTTCTCTCTTTTCTTCTCCCTTTGGTTCCTTTGACTTCTTTCTGGGCAGGGCGGCTTGTTCTTCCTCTGAAAGAAGAGGGAGGGAGCAGGGAGCTGCGGCTGCTGCAGTTCTAAGAGGATGATGATTTTGTTTAATTTTTTTTTACAGACAACCACTACAGAATAATTCAAACTTTTAAGCAACCCTAACTGTCTAAATTCCCTTTACAGATTGCTGCCTTGTCATGGCCAAGGGGCTTGAGTAATTCAGAGAGGCTATGGGCTATGAGAGACTCTGAGAGAGGAATTAGCAGGTCATAGTGGAGATACTCTAGTATCTTTGCCAAGAAAACCCTGACACCAAAGAAAGATCTTGTTATTATAGGGGACTGGAATGCTAAAGTAGGGAGTCAAGAGATAAAAGATGGAACTCTTTTAAATACTGTCTACCCAGAAAGTCACTCCCTTTTCCCCCCCTGGGAGAGGTGAGTAGGATCTTGGGAGAACTCACAAAAACATGGGGTTGTGCATGGCAGGCACAGCTCCGAGGTTAGTTATTTCTTCACCATCTCTTTGGTGCTAGAGGTTGGGGAATGGGGTCAGAAGCACCTTGACTCTCTCTCCCCCTTCCCTCCTCAGCGAATGTAAGAGCAAGCCGTGCAAAGGAGCACTTCTCCTCCTGGGGAGTGTTCCTTGCAGGAAGGCTAAGAGTGCTAGAGCGCAGAGCACAGAGAAGCCAGGCAGAGGCTGAACTGCCGGTAGGTAGGCGCGCCCACACGCAGATAAACACAGAAACAGCTGGTGCTTTGCTGAGAGGAGGGGGACGGATGTCCTTTCCCACGTCCCCCCCCCCAAAGGCTTGGTTATTTTCCCTAAATGCAGGCGATGCTTTCCAGAAACGCCAGAGAGAAATCCCCTTTCCCTCTTGGGAGACCCCCTTGGCTTCTTCTTCCTCTGTCTCTCTCCCCCCCTCCATCTCCCCCTCTTCTCCAGGTGGGCTCTTCCTCTTCCCCCACAAAAACACACACCTACCTTCCTTCTGACTTCTGGCAAAGTCTGCCCCCCCCCATCCACTTGATCTACAAAGTGTAAGTATCTTTTCTGCTGATTATATGCTCAAAGGTGTAACCGGTTTAGATTTGACGATATCGTTTCTGTCTTCACACTCTCACAACTCATTTTAAACAGAAACATTTATTGATTTCTTTTGAATACCGTTTCCCCCCGAAAATAAGACTGGGTCTTATACTAATTTTTGCTCCTAAATACACATTGGGGCTTATTTTCATTTCAGCATGGAGTCCCAAAAGAATACAGTGCCAGGAAGGGATGAGGTGCTCACGGTCCTTTTCCCACCTCCCTTTCAGAGTTTGGCTGAGATTCTGTGGTGGTGCAGAAATGGCCGAGCCCTGCTGGGAAGGGGAGCCCAAAAATGCCCGGGAGAGATGAAGTCTGAAGACGGAGCAAAGAGAGGGAGGGAAGGAACAGCAGGGGATGCAAAGGCAAAAGTCACAGCCTTCAGATGACCGGAGTTAAAATGGAAGCCGAGGCAAGGACAAGTCAACCCTGCAGCGTGCAAGCTTTTGACTCTTGACATCTACCCACGTGGCCCCTGCTTGTTCCACCAAACCAAGGGCTGACGCTACGTATCCCACGAGCTGACACCGTGACGCGCCTCTCACGGGCCCTCCGGTGCTTTCACAAGGGCCCACGGCACCTTCCCTCCCTTTACGCTGCCACCAGTTGACACCCCCTGTCAACACTCTTCAATTACGAAGATTGAGGTCCAAGCTGAGGATTAAGTTGAACAAGACAGGTTTATTGATTATAATACTGATTCTCCACAGACTTTAATGTATTCATTAGATTAGTAATAACTCATTTCACTCTTAACTCTCTCAGTTCTCTATCAGTTCCACCCTCTTTACTGTCTCCTTTACCTCCTGACTCTGCCACCCCAACCCTAAGGACCACAGACTCGCTTCTCCTTCAGTCCCTCATCTCTGACTCTCTCTCTGACAAAACTCCCTCCAAAGGACCAAACCTCTCTTCTC